CTCTTTTAAAGAGGTAAAAATGAGGGACAGGAAAAGGCAGGAGAAACAGACTGCTGTTTGATGCATGACATAGTACAAGTCCAGTGTCATGGCAGGCAGGGCCCAGGCAGGCCACCTGGTTGACAGCACCCAGACCTGTGATACTCATTGTGACTTGGGAGATGGACTTGCCTATACCAGTCTGGTCATTTCTTAGATCACCAGATGGTTTGACAAAATTGTAAATGAAACCTACCATATCAAATTCAAGGTCAGCAGCCAATTTGTGATTTCTTGCCTTGGCGATTCATTTGTAGGTATGAAGCTAGATGGGTCCTGAGGGTCTGGAGACGCTGTCTCCCCTTGAGGAGTCTTGGAGAGTAGAAGCTTCTCACAATTCAGAGGTGCATACAGAACCTCTAGAACTTCAAAGGAGGAGACTGGGGAAATAATATATGCACATAATTTAAGGGAAGACTGTCAAGCAAATACCTTACTAGTATGTAGAAAAAAAGGAAGCTCTGGAAGCCATTCTGGGTTCATGAGGTAATAGGATTATTGATCTCACTTCTTCCCATTTGTGATGGAGATTCAGAAATACCGTGGATATGAGAGGTTTTTCATTTTCATGAGACATGAAAGATGCCCCCCTTTTGGGTGTATTTGCTGTTATTAGATACAGGAGAAAATAACTTAATTTTTCCTGCATTCTTATGGGGATTCTAAATGTTGAAATGACTACATTGATGTCCATCTAATTCTGATAAATGTACCAAAGTCACAGGTCTCTGGCAGAAGATTCCAGAGTCCTGTTCTAGGCCCTACCATCTTACAGAATATTCCAGTCTTCTGTCTGAGGATTAGCAAGGTGAGCTTATCACCAGAACAGAGAATGGAAGGGTAGTGAATAGATTTGAGTGTCAGGATCTAAGCAGACACTGGAGAAAGCATGATAAAATCCATTTGAAAGGAGGAGGATCTGTTGTAAAGGAAATGTTAAGTGGGAAATATCACAGCACCAACTGGCAGAGGGGTTGTGGGGTTTGTGCACTGGAGCCTCATTGATTTTGTATGTGTGAGGTGGYTACCAGAAATGGTGCTGGATGATTGAGACTCCATCATCTGTGGTGACACCAGCAGAGTGATTCTTTCCCATGGCCCCTGTGTCCAACCAACAGTGCTTTAGATTATCATGCTCAGTCTTGGATAGCATACTCTGAGAGTGAAGTTCATGTTCTGGAACAAGTTTATGTAGTGTCAGTTGATGACTGAAAATATTTGCATTTATATTCTATCTACATTGTAAACATCAAGAAATGGAGGGTCCCAGTAGGTTAATGGATTGGCTGAAATTGTGCAGCTGGTGTTAAGTGTAAATTTCAGGAGAAACGTGTGTTTGGAATAAGCTCCTGCACTAGGCTTTGAAAAATCAGACCAAAAATGAAAATGGAGTCACTCATGTTCAAGTTCCATGTCTTCAGGCTGAATCTAAACTGTTCATCTGATGTTCCTGAGAATCAGAGACAATAGCCAAATTTCCCTTATAGGCTACTTTTAGTTGGTATGATAATAAAGTTCCCTCTGTCTTAATCCTTACACAAGAAAAGTTACTGATGTTAACCAGTCATTTACTTTTGTTACTCTATCTCCTGTCCCTGCCTTATAAGAAAATTAACTTTGAAATGACCAGTCCCTTTTTTTGTTCTTTCTGTTTTCCTCAGCTTTTTTGTTTCTAAAACCAACCCCCACTACTCAGCCCATTAGAACAGTAGTGCTGTTTTAAGGAATGAAATGCTGCCTGATTCTAGAATCAAAAATAAAGGCAACCAAAATCTTTAAATTGTACTTTGTCCTCTGATAGTGGCAAGTGGTGGAGCTCTGCGCTTCGACCCTGGCATTCTGATTCTGAACCCAATGCCACCATCTTACTCTGGCACCTCTGTTTTTTCCTTTCCTTCTTGGAATATCCAGATGTCTGTTTCAAGTTTCCACTTTACTGCCCCAAAAGACAGGCTCATCTTCTGATGAACAGAAACCCCACCTCATAGACAAGCCAAGGCTGAGAGTAAAATAGTTCACACTTCTCTTCCTCTTGATGATCTGCATCTTGTTTGTACTCAAATTCTCACCTCCAGTGTCTCTTGATGTAAAGTCAACTGCAACCACGTGAAACTGCCTCCTCCAGCTCTCCTTTTGTATTCTCCATCTCCTTTGCTTCATCTGTTCATTCTTGTTTTCACTGACTCATTTACAAATATGTGTGAATGCCTACTACCTCTGAGGCCTTGTCTAAGTGTTAGGATATTACTAGTGAGCAACACAAAAAATATCTGATCATACTTATGAAGGGGACAGAAACAAGAAAGAAAATCTATAAAATCAGATACTCATAAGCATTGTGAAGAATCTTAGAGCTGGTTACTAGATTCACTGGGATGTTAGGTGAAGCATCTTTTCAGATACAGTCAGGAAAGCTATCAGGCACGATGATGTTTAGAGAGAAACTAGAAATAAATAAGGAACTTGAGTCCTGTGGATATTTCAGGGGAGAGTATTCTTGGCAAGATAATTCCCAAATACCAAGTTTTATAGGTAGGGTAGGACTGGTATAATTGGTAAGGGGCAAGGGGACCTGAGTAATTAGAGAAGAGTAAGTGTTCATCATGCTGCCCAGTTTTATTAGCCAGCATTCTATCATTATGACAAAATATCTAAGATAACCAGTTGATAAAGAAAGGTAGGTTTATTTTTACTTACAGTTTTGGAGAATCTAGTCCATGATGAGTTGGTCTGTTGTTTGGGGCCTSTGACAAGACAGCACATCACGGCAGGAGCGTGTGGTGGAGCAAAACTGCTCACCTCATAACCAGGGAGCAAAAGAGAAGGAGGAAGAGATGGGAATCCCACAGTCCCCTTCAAGGACACACCCCTGATGACCTCATGATCCCCCACTGGGCCATCTCCCAAAAGCATCAATCAGGTGACCAAGTCTTAACACCTGGGCTTTAGGGTACATCACCGATCCAAACTATAGCATTGATTTTTGATAAAGTGTTTTAATACATAAGTTTTATGGGTGTAGAACACTGTATTCCCAATTACTGGGTGGGAGACAGAATTGTAGAAGTTGGTTAGAAATTGGGATAAATAAAGTATACATTTTAATGTGTATGATATGTGTGAAATATAAATGTATATAAAAGTTTCTTACACATAGCACTATAGAAATTTTTGTTTCTATCTTTGTTATTGTTATGAGTGTGATTATCTCAGTTTTACCCTAAGGATCAATAGGTAAAGCAAAGATATTTGGAAGTGGCTYTTTGCAGTTCTGAATGCAATTTCTTTTGCTCTTCTCTTAAATTATAATTTTGGTTGTATACTTGAGTAACAGGGAAAGGTTCTACTATAATAACTTAGTGAAAAAAATCACTTTTACGAGTGGCCCGAATGCAGCCTGGTTTTCCCACCATGTCCTGTTGTGCATATTCTGTTTCCATGGCTAGAATGTAAGAACAAATGAACACTTTACTCTTAAATTAAAACATAATGTTCATGATATTATTGATCTGGTGTTGTTGTAACAGTGGTTGTAATAGTTAACATGGGTTGAGAGTTAAACAAATGCACATCCCTGTTCTAAGGCCTTTGCAGAAATTTGTTCTCTTAAAACTTGTTAAGGTTTAGATATGAGTTGTTTCCCAAAAGCTCATGTGTGAGACAATGCAAGAATGTTGAGAGATGAAGTTAACAGGGTGGTGTTTTGGGCAGGTAGCTAGAGGAAGTATGYCACTGGGGGTGTGCCTTTGAGGTTTATGTTTTGTTCCTGGTGAGCAGAGCTTTCTCTCTGCTTCCTGGTGGCCATGTTCTGACCTGCATGCCGTTTCCATGCCCTTTTGCTATGATGGTCTGCCTTATCTGGGGTTTAGAGCCATGAAGTAAATGAACCATTGACTGAACCTCTGGAACTGTGAGCCAAAACAAACTTGTCGTCCTCTACATGGTTCTTGTCACATCTTTTGGTCACAGCAAAGACACTAAAACGAGCCTCCTAACCCTAGGAGGGAAGCTCTATGCTGATCATTTTCTGTCTAAGGAAATGGAAAATTCAGAATGTTTATGTGACTTCCCAAAGGACAGGACAAAGGAAGAAGATCCAGGTTTTACATTAGTGTTTGGCTCTACAACTTGAAAATTTGGATAATTCAAAATTTATTTCTGCTTCGATTTGCATTCTTCCTGTGGTGCATTGGCTGTGTTGGCTGAAGGGTGTTTAAGGAAGAGAGTAAACTGGGAAATCCATTTTTATTTTCTTTAGCCTACCATCCCAGAAACAGCAGGAGGAGTTTGGCAGGTGCCAAAGGTGGAAAGCAGTTGCAAGTTTTATTGGTCATGGTAGAAAATGAAGGACCCATCTAACATGGACCAACCTGCTCACCATTATACATCATGTTGGTTGTCTTTAGAAACTGTATTCTTTGCTTGACTTTTGGGGGGGAAAAAARGTGTCTTTTCAAGAAATTGCCACCAGACAGCAGTTTATTTAAGTTAATATTTCTTCTTTATTTTCTCCTTCCTCTGTCATTTTGGATGTTTTTGATAGAAAACACACTGAGTTAATATTTTAATGTTGTCAGGTCTTAACTCCAATTTTGAAGAAGCCAGGCATGGYGGTGTGTGTGCCTGTAATTTCAGCTGTTCAGAGGCTGAGGCAGGAGGATTGTGAGTTTTAGACCATCCTGGGCAACCTAGCAAGACTCTTGTCTTAAAAAAAGGACTATGGATGTAGCTTAGTGGTAGAGCACAAACAAACAAATGCGCTTTGCAGTTGCTCATTTTCTAGGAGTTAAAGTAGCCAAAGTAGCACCTCTGGATTTTAATACATATTTCAGACGTGGCTGTGACTTACAGAGTGTTACTTTGACCAGTTTGGTTGTCCCTAGTGCTACCTAGCTTGAGACTTGAAATAAACTATAACTAAAAGGGGGAAAAAACAACTAAAATATTTATTGCAGAAAATAAAAAAGTTAACCAAAGTATTTTATTGATACATTCTTAGACAATACCACGGAATTGAAAGAGAATGGAAAGAGGGAATTTTCCAGCAAGKKTTTTTTTTTTCTTTTTTTTCTTTTTTCTTTTTTCCACTAAATTGGCACATAAGCAGCAAGATTAACGAAAGTACTTATTACAAACAGTAGAAAACATACATGCTTTTTTTTTTTTTTAAGTCCTTATCACACTGGTCAGTCATAATGGGGCATGAACAAAACCTCAAGACATGAAAAATCCATATTTCTTTCCTTCAAATCGCATAATTATTAAAATTATTGCAAAATATCCATATATCTTAATTAAAATAACAAAGAGAACAGAAATACAAATATCGAACATAAATTATTAACATGTACTGTAAAATACATTACTGGCATGCATTCCAAGGACCAAGACCTTATGCCATTGAGCCAATGCTTTCTTTTCATGTCACCTATCATGTACCACAGATAGGTGGGGTTTACTTTCTCAGCACAGTTTTTGGTCTTTAAATATCTTTTTTGTCTTAAAAAAAATAACGTGATTTGCAGTGGTACTATAATCATAACCATATAGTCACGTACAGATGTATGTGTGCCTTTGTCTGCCAAGATCTTTTTAAAATTTTAATCATTTTAAAAAATTTCCCAAACATTCCACCATCTGAGAGGGCGGGGCTCTATGAAACAGGGCATTCRGAAACAATGAACTGAGGTACGACATCAGATGGCAAAGTGCAAAAGTCCTCACAAACTGTACAGAAAAATTTCAAAACCTTGCAGCCCGGAAGTGCATATGTAGAAAGACCAGTCAGCCCCCAAGTCGGTCCTGTGGCTCTCCATTGCATCCTAAAGAGCCAGGGTGGGACTTGAGTCTCAACTCTCCCTCTGGTAGGGAAGGTCCACAATTCAAGCCGAGTTGGCAGTGCTAATGCCAGTGACTTAYTAAGCCAAGATAAAGTAAGGGTATTTCAGAAAGCAGCTGTTTAGGACACTGGATCCTCTAACATTGGTCTCCTGGCCAGGGAAGCTCCTCCGGTGATGGAAGCGGGCAGGACCAAAAGAGTCCTATGCCAGGTTGGGTGACRGAATAACTGAGGGTCTCTTCTTCCTCCATGGTTCCAAGGGATGGAACAAGTTAGATAACCAGGTTATTATAACTGACATACTTCTTTTTTGCAGCAGGGCCTGGGGAAAATAAATGGAAAGAGTAAGTGTTGGCATTGACCTTATTTGCAAAAGAGGACGTGGAGCTAGAACTGTGGGCAATTGTGGTGCAAAGTTAAGGCTGTGGGGAACACACACACACAACTTTGGATTTTTCTAATTCTTTGGCTTTGTCCACTAAAATCAGCAATTCTCAGAGATACTCAAACTATTGAGGTTCTTTTTTCGAGATGTCTTCAGCCACCTCCTTTTTAATCGGTAAGTGGTGTAGTATATATATCAGTGGTTGTAACATTTCCTAATTGCCTAAGCTTGCAGGATCCACCCATGTTACACCAAATTTCATCAGGTGATCTTCTCTCAGACCTTTGCATGGTAGAGGTCTGTCTTGGGTCATTAGAATTAATTTGTCTAGAGATGAGGTCACCCAGAGTTCCTCAAATGACTATAAGAGCGACTTATAATGTTGTCATTGCTAGGTTGTAAATGGTAATTTGCACAAGTATTTCCATTAAGGTTTGATGTTCACGTTAATGTGCCAGGTAGCTCAATATGCACAGTYCCCATTTGTTTTCTTAGAACGAATTATTTTCCCACTTGGCACAGTGATTCTCGGACTCTCTTTCACTCACTGATCCTAGTTCTCAGTACCACTGAATGGAATGTCCATGGCAGGATGTGTTCTTGGTTCACTAAATCTCAGTAGTTCTGTATCACCTTCTGCTAGACCCAAAGTAACTGTCATGTATCATTTACTTGTAACTTATTTCGCTTACTCTAGTAGGTTCTAAATAACATTCAGTAGAGAAGGAGCAAGACTTTTTCCCAGAACTCATAGATAGCTCAGGAATTCATATGTGAATTTAGAGGAACTTGGAAGCRGCATTAATATACTGGGACACAGTTTGTATCTGATCTTTGAGTAGTGCATCTGGCATGGTATAGATGTGTATATGCATATATTTGTTTTCCAAAATTCTGTATATGGGGTGTGTGTATGTGTGTATACTGATCTTATTTTCTGGGCTCAAAATTAGTTTAAAATTAGAATTATCTCCCTCTGAGAAATTCCAATTGGAGAACTCATTTCTCTGTTATATTACATTGATTCACTAAAAGGAGAAATAGAATTTTATGAAATTAAGGGTCTCCTGAAAAATATGGTCATGAGACTCCACTTATGAAGTGTCTTCACTTGGACATTTGGACTCAGCCTCAGTAACACCCAGGTTCTTCTGAGAAGGTCCCTGAGGTCCCAGCAACATTCATGGTCTTCAGCAATGTGCTTGTTTGGGGTATGAGGAGGAAAATTTAAGGAATTTCTATTTTCAGTGTCACAACTAAAATATCTCATCTGAACTTTGTAAGTGATAGTCATGAGCGCCTTGTCAAACACCACCTGCTGATTATCCTCAGACCAAAGAAAAAATGAGCAGAAACCTCAGTAACTTGTACTCACCCAAGTATATTAGACCACCTCTATTGTGTAATAAATGAAGATTGTTTGCTGGATAAACATAACTGTCTAGTAAAACAAAAAACAAATATAATTGCAGGTGCTCAAATAGGTTATTAAACCCTAAGGATGAGTTTTCACCAAAAAAAAAAAAAAAAAAAAAAAAGTTTAGAAAGTGTTGTCCCTGCACTGTAAAGCAGAGTACTGCTGTAGATTAAGATATGGAGTTATCTTTCAAAAAAAACTTAGAAATGATGTTTTGTAGAACAGAATAGCATTCCCAGATGCTTTTTCTGGGTCATAGTCTCTGATAGCATAGAGAGAGGTCCTGTTCTACCTGGGAAGATTCCAAAGGTCCGAGAGACTAGTGTTCCAGAAACAGGTTGTTCGATGCTTGAGTCTGGACTTCCCTCTTCACCCCATGACACGAATCTCAAGCTGCCACTATACTCAGCTGCTCTAGGTTCCCATCCAATTCCTTCCCCTACCTAAGGTGTGGTTAGCACAGCGCCAAGATGCTAAACTTCTCAGAGACTTTATAAAATTGGGAAAGGAATTTTACCCTATTGATAGGTAGAATGTTTGAATTATTCCTATTTCTCATGGGGGGAGTATAATGTACAAATGGGTTTTGAGTTACAAATTTCTTTGTCAAATGATAAGCCTAAGTGTTTGCTTTCTTTGCAAAATTGCTTAGGAATATTGCAGCAAAATTATAATGAAGTTCATGTAGCTCCTAGAATGGCAATTATGTGCTTTTCACAGCAATGTCCAGTGTATTATAATATTTATTTTTAAACCATCTGGTGTTAATGAGTAAATAAACGAAGTGCCTATGGTGTCTGATAATTTCATTTATTTGGATAGTTAAGTAGTTTATGGTCCAGGAAAGAAAATGGCTTAGCTCAAATAGTTGTCCAGTGAAACACTTGTTAGGAAAATAGTTTTATTTTAACATAGGGTTTTTTGTTTGTTTGTTTTTGTTTTTTTATTTGGCTTATAAAGTTAAGTTATAGATTTTAAGAAAGAACAGGAGTTGATGGCATTGTCCTTACTGAAGTTTTTAAACTTGTCTATATCTATAGTTCACAAAGGAAGATATCTTAGAGAGCCAAAGCTTACCCATGAGCTAGGGCCAATGACACTGGTTTTTGTAAAGTATTACTGATGCACATCTGCTACCTGTGGAAGGTCAGGCAGTCCAGCTCATTCTCAGTGTCACAAGCAACCCTCAGTTTGACATGAAGTTCAGCAAGTTACTTGTTTCTTCAATTTTATGGGAGCCCTTTTGTCTCACAAAAATTTCTCAAAGTGTTTTGTGGAACATTGGTAAACCACATTAAAAGAAGTATAGGGGAAAAAAATAACAATGGAAAAGAGAAAGAGTCTCACAAATATTATGCTGGAAAAGCACTGAATAAATAAAATGAATGGAACTGTTTCCTCTACCCCACTTTTATTTCGTTATTTTGTAAATAATAAGAAATATGTTAGCTAAAGAAATAAGATAAATAAAGCTCAATGTTTGGAATTTTATTATTTCAAAAACTATGTGTATATAGGCATATATATGTAGAAATATGTTAAAAGCATAATCAAACTTCCATTAAAGTTAAAAAAAATTCACATCCCTTAATATATCACATGCAAATTCATGGGCATTTTTGCTTCAAATGTGCCACCCCCCCCCCTCATAGGAAATGCATATAGTTAAGGCCCTCCCTCCCCTGCCAACTCTTCCCTCGTCTGCTCCCTCCCCATTGCTTCTGCCACTGCATCTGTTGTTCCCCTTGAACTATAGGCAGGATTAACCAGTTTAAAACATTGTTATTCTATGCATATTCATTTATAACTATTTTTCATATAGTAAGATTTATTTATATTGATTTGGTTAACCATTACTATATAGTCTTTCCATATCATTGTGGCAAAAATCTTTGTAGCTTTTTTTTTTATTTGATGGACTTTGCTTTCCAGTTTTCTTTCATAACAAACAATACTGAAGTAGAAGATAGCTAGAAAATATCATTAACAATGTTAAGTGACAAGTATGAGCCAGGAGAAAAAATAAATGCCATATATTTAGATGACGAAGAATGGCTATCCAGATTTGCACAAATGAATAAGGAATAGAATCTAATTTTTAAAAATTTTGTTAAATTTACAACTCAGTGTCTTGAAGATGAGGAAGTATGATTAACTGAAAAATGCTCAATATCATCATTTAGAGAAATGAAAATTAAAACAATATGGTAGCATTTTATACCCATGACATCAATGAATTGATTGTATTTTGAGAAGGTAAAAAAGAGGGAACTCGTAGGTCACAATGGTAGGCATGAAGACTGATAATATAATCATACAGGAGTGCCATGTGAAAAGATTTAGAAAATCTGAAGATAAGCATCCTATTGGCTTGGCAATTTCACTTCCACATTATACTTGAGGCATTTCTTCCATAGGTGCACAGGGACATGCGTATGACTTACCAGAGCTTTCAATATAATGACGTGCTATGCTCAGAATGTAAAAATGCAAAGCAGACCAAGTGAAAGATGTTAAAGAATAATATGAATGAAGTAGAAAATGTGCACACTGTGTCAGAAGTTGTGATCATGGTGGGAGGCTCTCTCAGCAGGCAAATGCTCCATTTTCAGAAGAGGAGTCAGACTTTTGTATTTTTATATAAAAGTTCATTTTTTACATGGCCATCCAAGTAAAAAGGTATTTGGGGGCACTATTAAGTGTTGGGCTCAATATTAGGGTTTTTAGTAGATGGTTTTCAATCAAATTAAAACATACAGCAAGGAAGATACAAAAGCAAAAAATTACATGGAGTCTATAGGCTGTGAGTTTGCAGCTGGTATTCTCTGCACTGTTTCCCAAATATATTTGAATCTGTGGCACCCTCCCCCCCCCCCCACACACACATACCTGTTTTAGTGAATCCCTTGGCAGTGCACAGAAACATAATTTTGGAAATGCATGGTGATATTTCTTAGATCTTAATCCTACCTGTTACTTTGGTATGTTGTTAATTTGTTGTAAAACTCAACAAATGTGGAAATACTGGCTTGTTGCCTGCTGAAACTTGATTGGGAGTGACTCTTAAAGCCATCCTAAGCTCTTTGCCATTTTAACTGTCCTCTTTAACTGCTGCTTTCTTACCAAACCATTTGTCCAACTTGCAGTTTACCTGTGAATATTTCAACTGAGAGGGATTCTTCATATTATCCTTTGCAGTTAGTAAAAGTAAAAGAAATACTTTCTGTGTACGACTTCTGTGTTTCCTGCCTATTCATTTCATTTGTAAACTGCCCCTAGCCTGTGGCTTAATGGCAAAGGAGACATTTACCTTCAACTCTTAATTCTCATTCCAGATTTAAAAAAAAAAAAATAAAAGCTAGTCAACTTGCAGTATTTTGTGAAGAAAAAGCAATTTGTTTTCTAATCATTGCCCCTACATTCTTTTTTTAAAAAAATAATTACTTCGAGTAGCACATTGCTCAGTCAAAAAAGTAAAATAGATGCAAAGCTGAACAAGAAAGAACAGCATGATTACCAA